TAGGGTCTCACTTTGGCTCCAGGCTGAAGTGCAGTGGCACGATCAGGGTTCACTGCAGTCTCTACCTCCTGGGCTCAAGTGATCATCCCATCTCAGCCCCGTGAATAGCTGGGACTGTAGGCGTCTGCCACCATGGCCAGCTAATTTTTTGTATTTTTAGTGGAGATGGGGTTTCACCATGTTGCCCAGGCAGGTCTTGAACTGTACTCAAGTGAGCAGCCTACCTCAGCCTTCCAAAGTGCTGGGATTACAAGCGTGAGCTACCATGCCCAGCCAAGGATATATTTTAGTAGTAATGAACTTATGGTGACAGAATATGTGGGATAATATCACCTACTGTCACAAGCTGGCTTCTGTAGGAACAGTTACTGAGACTGACTTTGGGGTTCAAGATATTTGTTACAGATCAAGTCTTGTGTAAGGAAGGGGGAGAAAACAGTGTTAGGCAGAGAAAGAAGTCGTATACGTTATAGACCCAACTAAACCTCAGTCAGGCCATGTATGCTGGCTTATGCCTGTAATTCTAGCACTTTGGGAGGCCGAGGCGGGAGGATTGCTTGAGCACAGCAGTTTGAGGCTGAAGTGAGCTATGATTGTGCCACTGCAATCAATCAATCAATCAATAAACCTCAGTCAACCCTGCCAGGAGCTATGGAACAATTATGGTTTGTTGGAGTGTTCTGTGTTGGGCTAAATGGTGAAGCCTCTTTATACTTCTACCTTACTCAGTCACTACATGGGGGCTGCCCCAGGGAGGTCACGACCTCAAGTGAGGGGGTACTCAGCAGCTGAGCCAGGCCCTACTGATAGCTGGAGGATGCTGCTGCCGATGCTGCCCACTGTGAGGCAGCAAGCCCTTGCTTGAAGGGGGATCTGGATAGTATGTTTCTGTGTCTACCACCCCTAGAAATGGTGCCTAGAGTAAGTCATCAAAAAAAGAATCAGGATAGCTGGGCATAGTGACAGGCACCTATAATCCCAGCTACTCAGGAGACTGTGGCAGGAGAATCACTTAAACCAGGGAATTGGAGTTTGCATTGAGGTGAGATCACATGACTGCACTGCAGACTGGGTGACAGAATGAGACTCCATCTCAAAAAAAAAAAAAGAAAGAAAGAAAAAAAGAATCAGGAAATACTAATATTTAAAGGATAGGTGAATGGAGGAAAATAATAAATTGAAGGAGGCTGAGCAGATGAGGTCAAAGAAGATAGAGATCCATAACAGTAACCTCATAGAAATTTATGGAAGCGTCTTAACAGTGCTAAAAGTCACATAAAGTTCAAGTAAGACAATTTCGGAAATGTATAAACATGAATGCCTTTGCAGTGACTTAAGTGTGAGTCTGGTGTTTCCTTCTAAAAATACTGCCTTCTCAGGTGTGGAAAGGATTCTATCTTTTTAGACTTTACCACCATAGTTCTCTGAAGGCTTGCAATCCTGAATCAGGCTTGACTTCAGAAAGTGCTTTAAAAGGGAGGCCGGGCGCAGTGGCTCATGCCTGATATCCCAGCACTTTGGGAGGCCGAGGTGGG